TCGATGCAAAATTTTTATATTTTATTTAAATAATGATAATAATTTATATTTACCTAAATTAAAATAGGTACCCGCGTATGTCATAGCTCAAGTGGTGGGGTCAACCCTAGCGAGCGGGACCCTAAGACTACTGTTTGGTGGGCCCCACAACCACTTTGCGGGAACACTTCCGACCGGCACTGACTTGCAGTCCCTCGTGGTCGAATTTATCATCACGTTTTACCTCATGTTCGTGATTTCCGGTGTTGCCACGGACAACAGAGCTGTAATAATAACAATAATAATAAATCTTGATTATCTACTTTGTTAATCTTTTGTCTTAATTATGGATAATTATTATTATTATTATTATTATTATTATTATTATTATTATTATTATTATTATTATGGTTGATTAGAAATAGACAAAGCTAGGGTTGGCTTGAAAACTAACCTAATTAACGTATATGCTCTTGCAAGGTCTTTAATTAAAGACAATGACTAATTAATATCTTCATTTTATAAATAGTTAATTTATTAATTAGTAGTAACTAATTTGGAGTTTGATTGGTGCAGATTGGAGAACTTGCTGGTCTAGCTGTTGGAGCTACCGTTTTGCTTAACGTTATGTTTGCTGGGTAAGTATAACATCTTCATACCCACATATTTTTTTTATATATATTGAAATAAAATATAAAAGGTTTCTTGAGTTTGGAGGAGAAAAAATAAAATAAAAATAGTTCTAAAAATCCATTAATATTGGAATTGGCTGATATCTGAAGCTAGCCACCATGTGAAGCACGATTCATGGAAATTAAATTTAATGAAAATAAACAAATCATGTTCGTACATCTTTATTAATCGTTAGTGCTGGATCAAGTTTAAATTATATTATCCGAGATTTGCTAATAATAGGGGAAAATAATTTAATAATTTGAGATGTATCAGCTTATAACAAATAAAAAATTTGGCCTGTTTTGGTATTTAATCAGTGGTTTGAGGTTAAATTAGAGGTTTGAGATAAATTACAAGTTTGACACGTTACAACATCTAATTTATAATTGTATTCGGTAACTAGCGATTTAAATAGCTTTTTGTATATAACAAGTTAATTTCAAAAAAACTCAATATATGAGCTTTAGAATATACTATTGTAAAATTAATTATTTTTACATATGAAACCGTTAACTATTTATCAAATACTTTACATAATCAAATAGTTAGAATATGCTAATTCAATATGTTATTCACTATTAGTGTTAAACAAGCCTTTTAATCCTTTTTTTTTTTTCAGATTATAATTATCTAAATTGTTTGTGTGGGAACAATGCAGGCCCATTTCAGGGGCATCGATGAATCCAGCAAGAAGTTTAGGCCCAGCAATAGTGTGGAGGCAGTTCAGGGGAATATGGATCTACCTATTGGGCCCAACAGCTGGGGCAATTGCTGGGGCCTGGGTCTACAATATCATAAGATTCACTGATAAGCCCTTACGTGAGATCACAAAAAGTGGGTCTTTTCTCAAAAGCGCCTCTCGAAATACCTCAAAGTGAATATGTGTAATTTTTTGAATGTGATAAATCACTTGTTTGTAACTTTGACCAACATTTTGTTGTCAATTATTTATATTATTTGTTGCCAATTAATTTAAAATCACATGATCTTCCTTGTTTCTTAATTGAATATTTATGGATTAGCCATATTAATGGAATTTTACTTTCGATTGGGGGCTTTACTATTGCCCAGATGAAGATTTATTTCAGTTTATTATTGATGCGCACCTTTTTTTTTTTATTATTATTATTTTACGTACACTATTTTCTTTTTGAGAAAAGCTCATTTGTAACAGAACATTCATCGCAAGTTTTACTCGACGAACCCGAGCTATATCTTTATCCAAACAAACCGAGTTCGGGTTATTAACTAATCGAGTTGATGAACGAGTCGGAATAAGGTAATAATTCAAAAAATTAAGTAAAAACTCATGTTTATGAAAAAGTCTAACGACCTTTGACCAGTCGAGTCGAGTCGAGCTCGAATTGTTAACTAAACAAACTTGAATTTGTTTAAACGGGTCGAGTTCGAACTCGTTTTTTTGAATAGAATAGTTATCACCTAATCAACTCGATAAATGCTCTACAATTTTAATAAATATACTAGGTCCAACTCAAGCCTTGATAAGTAGCTAGGGGGCCCAAAGAGAATAAAATCAAATGAAAAAAGAAAAAAAAAAAATTAAAGTCCAATCTTTCACTTTGAAAAATCGAATTGCATTAAAAGTTAAACAACTCAGTCTTAGTAAGACCTTCAAATTTGTCACTTTTTTGGCTGAAAGAACTTTTTATAAAACTGAAAAGTCAGGGCACTCCCATTGAATATTTTAATTATAATTGTGATAGAAATATTAATTAGACAACTAATCACGTATCTTAATTACTTTTTGCTGTCTAATACAAGACGTAAACAACTAGTTGCCATTGACTAAAACCGACGTGTCCAGATTATGCATGTCCAATAGTATCTTAAAAGCAAAAGAAACATCAAACATATAGAAATTTAAGTTGCCGGCCGTGTGACAATAAAATAAATGTAGTACAATTTTTTATTTACTTTTGGATAAAAGTGTCAATTGTTTGTTTTAACATAATACATTCATATTTTAGAAAGAAAGTATAATACATCCATGTTCATAGTTGAAAACATTAACTGCTCAAGACGAATTTCCAAGAAAATCCTCCTAGAGTTTATCAATACTAAGTGTCATAATGATATGTATTACTTTTTTATATTTTACAATTATATGTATTAATTTTCTATATTTTATAATTTTATATGTCAATATATTGTATTCAAAGCAGTTCATGTAGCTCTAGAATTTGTCTATGCCTATTATAACTATTAAAATTGTAAAATATTTGGTTAATTTAACTATAAATATATTTCTTAACTTAATAAAGCCTTTTCTTATTTGTCATAAGCTTTTCACATATGATGTATCAATTTAATCACATTTTAATGGTTTTTATTTGATTTACACATTACAAATGTAAAATAAAAAGTAGTTATATCTAATTTTAAAACATAAAATCACTTTATTATCAATCTTAACTGGAGAATAATAAAATTACAATTTATTAATTTAATTGAATAAATTTGCTTATCAAACCTATTATATGATATGGGTCGGAAAATTATTAAAATATTAGACGAGCCCTCTTATAGTGATGAGTGTCATTTTTTTTAAAAAGATAACAGTATATTTTAGAAAACATTAAAACTTAAAATAAATTTGATGTTCATCATCTAGCTTGTCGATTACATAAACGAAAACCTTAAAGATGCATATATTGGTCACAATCCCTAAAAGTAAAGAGAATATGTACTCCATATATTATGGCTCCGAACAACTTCAGTAGGAGGTTTTGATAAAGTTTAAAAACTCTCCTTTGTAAGTTTACTTCAGTTTTACTATGGAGTCATTGGATGACTCTTTATGGAGTCATCCACACTTATTCACCAATAGAGTATTGACACGTGTCCTACAATAAATACAATATAGACAGATGTCAATACATTAAATGATGGATGACTCCATAAGAAAACCATCCGATGATTCTATAGAATTTTTGTGGTTCACCTACCATTAAAATAGAAAGGTTTGAGGTTTAATATCTTAAAGCGGGCTTAGCAGTTCAAAGTTGCATTAAACCTCACAATAGTTATTTAAAAGAAAAAAAAAAAGAATAAGTGACTATGAAATGGAGAGTAGCCACCATATTTTTTCAACCCAGACCGGCCCAAGACATGATCGATCCGGATCCGGAACTGGTTCGAGTGGGCTATTTGGACCAGGTAATGAGGGACCCAGTAAAAAACTGATCAATCGACCTNATATATACAAAACATTTAATTTTGTTACTTTTATGCATATTTAATTATTTATATGACATAAATACCATATATAATTTTTAATTATCTAGTTCAACAATTGACCCGATTACCCGACGGTTGAATCCATGACCTGGTAACTCAGAAACTTATCCGAGTCAATTCTTGGGTCTGGTTTAAAAATTAAGGGTAAAAACTCAAAAGTGAGTTTATAAACCTCAAATTTTTGTTAGGGCCCCAGCAAAACATGGAGACTTAACAAATTAATTACTGAAAATAAAATACTAATTAATAATGACCACCATACAAAAAAAGATAAAAAAAATTAAGGGTCAATCTCAACTTTTCTATTCAAAATTCAGTTTATGGAAGTTAGTTTTCATTTGTTGAACTCGTGGCCTTTGATTTAAAATACAGAAAAAGAAGGTAAGCAATGAGTTTCACTTTTTATTATTATTATTATTATTATTATTATTATTATTATTATTATTATTTAAATTTGATGATCATCTATGTAAATTGAGAGGTAAGCGTTGTAGTTGGAGAAAGGAGAAAAATGGCCGAGTGAGGTGGGATTGGGAAAAAGATGTTGCGGAGTGCGTGCGTAGGTAAGAGCATCCACAATGCTTTGGGTCTCTTGACAAAAAATCACATGCCATGTAAGAAATAGACCTAGTTTATAAAAAAATACTTCCCAATACAATTAAAAGTGGACATGGTCTAGCTTATGTGGCAATAAAAAAAAGAGACTAAGTCCACACTTGGGTCTATTTTGGACCCAAGTACAAACCCAAACACTAATCATTTATTCCTACTTTAATTTTTCTTTTAATAAAAAAAACATATTAGATCATTTTTATTGGTTGACATATATGCTAGACCTAGTATTTTTATTTTTGCATTGCAAAGTTATTGAAGTTTTTTACTTGGGTTTGTTCACATCATTTAAGACTCAAGTCCAATTATATGCCACATATACAAAAAGAGACCCAAAGCATTGTGGGTGCTCTAAGGATTGAGACTAATTTAAGTTAGTAATAAGTGTGAATATATTAGTCATTTATGGTTATTTATAATTTTTTGATTATATTTTATTTTTCCGTCAAAGTTATTTCATTTTCAAATTTTTTTTAGTCAAAGATATATTAATGATTTCTTGTTTTGAGAAGGCTATTTCAACCAATTCCCACTTAACCATGGTTCCCATATTAAAAAAAAAAAGTATTTTAAGATTAATTGGTGTCATAGAAGAATTAAGCATGTATGTAATGCTACTGTTAGTTCAGTACAGTGCTAATCTATACTAATATAAAAAAGTTATTGGAAAAATACATAAATAGTAACTTGACTTTTTAATTAAATATTTGATTTACTATAATAAGAATTTTTTTTTTTAAAAAAACACATGAGATTATTAAAAAAATGAGCAAATCAATTTCATATATTGTTTTATTACGAAAGTACCTGTGCATATTTTAAAAGTAGATTTTACCTTATCTTTTTTTATCTTTCTCTTAACCACTTTTTCAATCATTTGGTGAATAAATTTCAAATTAATTTTCTTGGTAAATTATTGGTGCATCTTTTCTAATGGTTTGTTGAACGATCTCATTTCCCACACAATTTTGGCAAAATCCGATTCTCACTATACTTTCAAAATAATATACTTGTTATTACATAGAAAACTCGATTTTCAAAATGAGATTAGATTTTTGGTGAATAATTCCGATAAGTTTTATTTGGTAAAAACGCGTGAATATACCATGATAATCTGTATGTTTGGTAACATCCTATTTGTATTTTCGTCCAAAAATATTTAACAAAATTTGAAATTTAGGAGCAAATATTTTATTTTGAAACATCTGTACCATACTTTTTATAACATTCAATTTATGCAAAATTTTGAGTAAGAATAATTTCATTTCAAATAACGCATTAATACAGTCTAAACTGAAAATGTACAATAATATCAAAAATACTTTGATATGGAAACGCATCAATACAACCCAAATATAGAAAATTGATCTTTATTTTACATGGCAATATATCATTTCAATATTCACCATAAGTTAATGCGAATATGAAAAAATATTATCAAATATACTTATCAATTATTTAATGAGAAATTTTAATTTATAAATATTAATAAATATTTCTTACCCGTGCATCGCACGAGATTCGTACTAGTCAAGAGAATACAAAATAATAAATTATAAATACATGTGTGACGCCAATTTTGTAACTTTAGAGAGTATTAAAATAATAAATAAATGGTACTTTTGTTATAAGTACGAATATGATAATAATATGACGTGGTATACATAATTCCATAAAATTACATGTTACAAATTCTTGCATGACTCAGTCTAGTCGTTAGGTGTATCATTAACCCGTCATATATTTTCAATAAAAATGCATAGTTATATTATCATATATCATATTTTTATTGTGGTAATATTAGAAATAACCTTATCATTTTGTAAAAGATGAAATATAGTCACTTTTTGTGGAAGTATGAAATAATTTATTCATACTTCTACAAAAAATGGATACATTTCATCTTTGCATTTGCTACTTAGTTATAAAGCCAAGGCACTGATTTAAATTTATGTTATTTTTTACAGTATATGATATTTTTTAATAAAAATACACGTTTTAAAAGATTAATATATCAATTAGTTCATGTAATACAAACCCTGAAAATTCCGCTTTACATATATTTATATATACGTGGGGTTACCTAGCTAATCCTAAAAACACTTATAATGACACTTTTTTAATCCGGACCAAAAATCGACTCGGATAAGTTTATGGGTTACCGATTCAACCGCCGGATCATCGGTTTAAAATAATTTATGTCGTACTTTTATTATATAAAAATAGATAAAAATAACAAAACAAATGTTTTGAATATAACTTTCGTGCATCAAAGTGTTATTAATATTGTATCTCATAATAAACATTTGCCATATGTATATAATTTTTATATTTAAAATAAAAATATTTAAAGAAATTATATTGATTGGGTCAATGCTGGGTTGACCGGGTTTGACCTAGATCATTGTCACCAGGTCCAAACCACCCACCTGAGTCGGTTTTGGCTCCCCGGGACCCACAACAATACTTAATTTTTTTTTTGTACTTAACAATACTTAATAAATACCCACAATCAATCATTATATTAAAAGATTAACCATTTAACACTTTTAGCAAGTTTTTCCCGCCAAATACATTTAATGTCTCCTAAAAATAGAACAACATTAAATGTTGTCCTTAAATGGTAAACAAATATTACTTTTTTATGATTGATTTAAATTTACGTATGTTTAAAAGTAAAAAACTACTTTTGTAATTTCAACAAATTTGTACTCTTTAATGTACGGCTGATTAAAATTAAGAATTTACTTTTGTATTTTCACAAAAAATTGTATAAAGAAGTATGGCTGGAATAATAATAAAAAATTAATTTGTTAAACCATATTTTGCACTCATAGATACGAATTCTCATCAAATTCAAGATTTAAAATTGGGAATAATGTATATAGATGTGGACTGATTGAAGATATATGATTCCTTAAATTAAGGAATTTTTTCCGGTAAAAAAAAATATAAACTTTAAATATAGATTTTATTAGTAGTGTATACCAAAGAATATTGTTACATTTAAAATTCATATGAAGAAGAATTCTATTAATTTTCAAATTCAACATCTCATAAAAATAATATAATACACTTTTACATTCTATGAAACAATATTTAAAACTCACCGTTCAACATGCATAAAATGTAAAATTACCTAACATGAATCATTTTAACTTTCTAAAATCAGTACACAATTTTCTCGGTATGTACTAATAGTCTAATAGTTAAGAGTTAATATTTGCTATGTCATCTATTGGTTGGAAAAAATTCCATTTTGTATGGAATTCGAAATAAAAAAAACATATTCTGAAAATCAAATCTGATTTAGAGATCGATTTCTTAATGGCCTTAAATTATGCAAATATATTGTTTCAGTTTTTAGGATTCTTTTTCATGATCTCAGTCTTTGCATTATATGAAATCTATACTTATATAAAAAGTCATCCTATTTACTGGAAATAGTAGGTCGAAAAGTCAAAATTAATTAATGTTTGCTGGAAATATAATGATATTAATTACAAATTTGTTTTGGTATTTATAGGCTTGACATTAAAGATTTGTTATGAGATAAAAATCAGAGCCGATTCTTTTACCTTTGCTGGAAAAGTCATAACATCGGTTTAGTTAAGAAAATCCCATCAAATCAGTTTTATATGTCAAGCCTATGAATAAAGATTTAATGGGTCAAAATTAAATCCTTATTATACGTCACCCATAAATAAAGTAGATTTCAAGCCTAAATTGAAGGGTTTAGTTGTCTATATAGCCATTAATTTAAGTAAACACATCTAATGTTTAAAGTTTGTGTAGATTGAAAATTCCTTCTTATCTTTTTACAAAAAATCTTATTATTATTGTATGGAAAATCAAACTCATAATGTTGTGTACAAGGAGGTCTTTAATAATATATGATTGTTTGTTTGTCGAATACTATCTTATTGTACAATTTTCCTGCGTATTATAAAACTTTTATTGAATATTGCATCTTATAATATAGTATTCCTCAAATAAATATATCCCGTGTCTCGCACGGATCACGTACTATATATATCCCGTACATTTTTCTGTATTCATGCATATAATTATAAGTCTGGATAAATAGCCTTAAAATTGTGCACCCCGTGCATCACACGGGCTCTGTACTAGTAATACTAATAAATTTCAACTAATTATAAATAGGGTTTTAATTAAGGAAGTTTCAACTTGACAATTAATGAGTCAAAAAAAAAAATAAAAAAATGAATGAATTAGAGGTGAGGTCAACATGTAGCTTTTTCAGCGGCTGTGTGAACATCTGTATTTGACTATTTGGAACTTTTTTTCAGCAGTCCTAAATTCCTAATGAAGGTACTTACGTACGTACATGTTTGCTTAAATTTCAAGCTTCTACACACATGCAACTACAACAAACCAGATATTTTGTAGATAAATAAATTAGTATTAGGTATATATAGAAATATAAATAAATAATATTTGAGAAAATCATAAATTAAACATCCATCTAAGTAAAATTTAGTAATTAATTAATGCATAATTGCAGATAATTTATCTTGCTTAAGAAAATTCATTTTTTTTAAGTAATTACAAGAAATACAAAAGTTTTACGTATGTGCAATTGTGACTTAAAGTTTTTATACATTTGTATATTTTTTTTTTCATTCTATCTTTATGTTTTGTTCATTCAAAATAAATTTAATCAAAAAGTTATCTTAGCGCATACTCATTGTATAAAATGCTAGTTAGATAATAATTTTAACTCTCGACAAAGAAAAAAGAACTGTAAATTTATTATTACTATTTCTTTTAAAAATGGCATCGGCCATCTCTATTGTTTTTAATTAAAAATCATAAAAGGTAAATAAATTGCATTTCAAAGTTGAAAAATTAAGCTTAGAAATATGAAAAATGCATATCTTATTAAGTAGTAAACTCAAATTTCGTTATTCAATACAAAAAAATTGGTATATTCCAACGAAAAATCCTATTGTAATTTATTCCAATGGAAATTTTAACGGATATTTCAATGGTCTAGCTTCCGTCGAAAGATTCCAACAAAAATATTCCGTTGGAATATGTTTTTCATTGAAATTTTAAATGGAATTTAATAATTCCAACGGCTTTTTACCATAGAAATTTCCATTGGAATATGCAATTTCCGTTGGAATTTTTATTTCCACCCCGTTGGAATCGTTAAAATTCAATGGTAATTCCAATGGGAAACTCATTCCAACGGAATATTTTTGTTGGAATTTTCGTTGGAATCCATTGAAAAATTCCAACGAAAATAATAGCATTGAAAAATATCTATTGAAATTACCTTTAGAATTCTATTTGAATATATTTCCGTTGGAATTTTATCATTTTCTTGTAGTGATTGTAATATTTGTTGTGCTAAAGTTAGACGAATCACATAGGTGCTCAACACGGTTTTATAATAGAATATCATTTCTTAGTGTTTGTGTGTTACTGTATTTATGTTTGAATGAATAAATATGAATGAACCTTTAATTGAATAATCATTTTATAAGCTTGCATGTTTATGTAAAAAATTAACTCCGATTTATTTATTCTCTCTCAAATAAATAAGCCACTATAATATTTTGGAAAGAGAAAGAAAGAAAAGTAAAAGCAGTTAGAAACAAAAATTCAAAGTATGCAAATGCAATTAATTGCAATAAATTGGATAAATAGCGGTTCAAATAAAAATTCCCTCTAACATTGACTTAACTCAAAAAGCAGACTTTCTATATTTTAAACATTAACGCTTTGAATAATTTTCCTACACAGTCAACAATAAAATTATATTTTAATAAACAATAAAGATTAGATTTGGAGTTTAGTGGAACCCACTTGTGAATTTGGAGTTTAGTGGAACCCACTGGAACAAGCAAATCAGCACACAGTGTTT